GTGATCAGATCTCTATCCAGAATTGAGTAAGATTATCCTTGATAAAATCATGTTACCACTTACTAATAACAAGAAAAGTAGACCTCCAAATTGGTTACATGCTACTAAAAAAGGATTGACTAAAGATTTTATCCAATTTTAAGATTTCAAGCATATGTTTATGTTTTGATCTATAGATTTAATAATCAAGAGATCTTGGTGAGAGAAGAAATTCTCAGATCATTCTGAAGAATTAAAATCTGAATCCAGTATAAAAAAAATTCAATGGCCTGATAATCAAACTACTTTTAACAAAACTGGTCTGAAAAAAATTAAGAAGAAATCACATGGTTTTCTAATGAAGTAATGCTTATATATAGTTAATAAATATATAGATAACTACTCATATATATAGATTACTCATATAAGCAGATATATAAATACTTGTTAATATATACATTATCTATTTATATAAAAAAAGTAATATAAGTGACTGAGCCAAGGCAATTGTCTTATATGAATGTATTGATATATCACTAATAGAAATTGTGACAATAAATTTATAATTCAATGAATAATAAATACAATAGATAACATTTATATTCTTGAAATTTATTTTAGTACTAGCTTAGTCTTGACAGGTTAGCTTCTACTAAAAGAATATTAACAAGTTACAAAGTAAGTTTCTTCTAAGAGAAGTTATTTCTATTGAGTTTTGTTTAGTAGTAGACTGATAATATATCTTAGAAAACTTCTATGTAATAATACTATATAAATATAAATAAGTCAAAACTGAGCCAGTGTTAAAAAAAAAAAAAAAAAAAAAGTAAATATTTATAAACTATTAAATAATAAATTTACTTAATACTAGATCAATAAAAGTAGAGATCTAAGTATAATATTGAAAAATTATATTAATTAAACAAGTTATTCAATTAAAAAAATAATTAAATAAATTTATAAATATTCTAAGATATAACAAAAAAAAAAAAACAATTAATTATTTTATATTATATATAGATAACTTTTTCAAAAATAAATAAAAGATAATGAACTAAAGATAGATTTTATATAGTTTCTAATTGCAATTAATAAAATAACTAAACAATTTTAGTAAAAGTATTAACATAACTATTAACAACTAGAGTAGAAATATTAAACATTCTTATTATATTATTGTATATACTATATAACTCTCTAAAACATGTTAATTTTAAGAATTTTAAAAATAATATAGAAAAATATATAATTGATATCAATATTAAAGATTTTATCAAAATATTTAATAAAAAAAAGATTAATCAAAGTTAAATATTATAGAAAAAAATTTAAAATTTTTGAATTTAATACAATAGAAATATATATTGATTAATTTTTTAAAATTAGTTTAACTTAAAGTATTAAACATTTTCTATATCTTTTTTAATTTATAATAAATTTTCGGTTTTACAAATATTCAAGAAAAAAATTAGATATTTATATTATAACTCTTTGTATAATATATAAACTTTGGAAAAAAATAATATAATATCTTTTTAAATATTTAATCTCTAAAAAAATTAGAGAAAATAAATAAAAAAAAGTGAAAAAATTTTTAATTATTATATTGATAAAGAAATAAAAAACAAGAAAAAAAATCTAGTATATTATTGTATTAAAGTAATAGAATAAAAAAATTTTGAACATTATTGAAAAAAAATAATAATAATAAAACTCAGATATAAATTAAATATACAAATTATATAAGAACTTATTATTTTTAATAAAAAATTCAGATCATAAAAAAAAAAAAAAGAAGAATTATATAAAAAATAGATTTGTTATAAAATTAAATAATTTGATTTTTAACTATAAATAGAACTTAAAATAATTTCTAGTAATAATCTATAAATAATAATTTTACTAATTAAGAATTTATCCAAATCAGTAAAGAAGTAAAATAAAAAAAAAACTCTTTCACACAAATTCCAAAATTCTTAAAAATTTCTTTTTTAGGCAATTTTTTCTAAGAAACAAAAAAGTGGACAGAAGAGATAAGTTCTTATAGAACCCTCCACAGTTTTAAAATCAGTACAAGACCCAACTACAATAAAAACCTTTGACAAGAAGTAATGCAAAAAATCTCTGAAAAGAAACCAACACGAACAGTGAAATGACAACTCTAAACAAGGGTAAAGAACTTGAAAATCCAACAGAAATTATCCAAAACCTTTCTAAAATGAATAAACAACCCAACAATCTACAGTCAACCATTAGAGCCCTCAAAACCACAGTAAAAAGGATGCAAACAGCTCAGTATTGTATATATAAAGTGATTATATAGAAGAAACAATCACTACTGAAAATAGATCACATCTCAAGAAAACATATAGAGAGGAGATACCAGATACTTAACAACACATCCATACACTAGCAAGAATCGATTACTCTGATATATAAATGTATGCAAAGAAGAGGAAGAATTAAATCAAGATCCAAATAAAGAAGGTATTGAAGAAACATGACAAGTCCAAAGAAATCAAAAAAAAAAAATTGCCCAAGATCAAGATCAATATTTGACAAGACAACAATATATAGTAAGAAAAGATTTAAAACAAGAATCATGGCAAACGACATTTCCAGCACCATCACTGATTAAAAAATCATATATCTAATCAAAGCTCTAGGAAGCCCAGAAAGGCTTTTCAACATTCGCAAGGAAAAAAAAGAGTGTATCAATTACAACATAGCCTTATTTGGGAAGGAATAGGTTGCAGAGGAGGCATGCAACTTAATCTTACTAAACGTAGATTAGAAAATATTAATATGCATGACAATTACATTGACTGAGTCAAAAAAGAAAAACAGTATTAAGGTATGTAACATTTCTCTGACTACAAAATTTATAGAAGTACAATAAATCTTTGCTAGATATGGACAAATTACCAACATATGTGACAAATGGCAACAATTACATTTCAGGATAAGAAAGTCAAGAAACAATCTATTCAACAATATAGCATACTAATCAAGAGAAACACAACAAGAATAATGAATGCACAATGAAACAGGCAACAAATAACAGAAAGGTTTCAATATGCAGCAAAACTCACCAATCTCCCACTGAATATTAATGCCTTCAATCTAAAAAATATATATTAACAACTTCAAGTAAAGTTCTATTATATTTCTTGCAGAATTAAATATACCAGAAAATGGTTTGCAGTCATATCTTTCGAATATGAAAACAAACTCAAAGAAAGTTTAGAACAAGAATTTACCATGGAAAAGACCATCATTACAATTAAACTAATAGAAACTAAGCTTTGCTCAATTTGTGATCTAAGCAATCATTTCCTGATGCAATATTCTATCAAGGAAAAAAGAGAACAATGGTTATTATATAACAAAGACCAAGTATTAAAATTTAACAAACTCTATCAAAAGTTTAAACCTGTTAACATACAATGAATCAAAAATATAATAAGCAAAGAAATACAAATATAGAGACCTAGATCAGGATTCTATGAAGCAGTAGCAGCAACCAATCTTAGAACTAAAACTAAACAACAAAATGATTAGAAATGAGATTCATTAGACAAAATCCTCAACAAGTTACAACAAATATAAGAAGATATCTAAAAAATTAAATTATCAATTAAAGAATTGAATAAAAGAATCACATATCTTGAATCATATGAGAAATACAATAACAATATAATGGAAGAAGACATACAACAAGCAATGAAAACTAATAATCACAATGTGACAGACTAGGCCTCCCCCACTAGATCAATACTTGATATTCAATAAAAACAACAAGAACTCTATAACTCAATTAATAAGATGGATTAAAACATGAGTAATATTCTTTTTGCAATCAATACCCTTGTCCTAAACAACAAACAATTTCCAATATACAAACAATAATAGATAATTTAAATAGTACCAGTAAACCAGAAGAAGACAACTTAATAAATCAGACCAGTAATTAAAACCATCTATATATTTCAAATTAACAATACAAATCACAAGTACAACAACAAAAAACAATAACAGTCACTTTACAACCAACAATATTTCAATCACAAATCCAAACAATATAAATCTCAATGAAACAACAGATCAATCAAATACAATTTCAACAAGTATAAAATACAATACACAATATAGCACTGAAAAACACATCTATAATTCATGAAAAATTATAACACAAAATCTTAGAGGGCTTACAGACAGTTTTAAAAGACAAACCTGATTTGCTTTTGTTAATAGCCAAGGTTGAAATGTAGTAGTAACAATAGAAATTAATGAAATAGTCCAGACATTGAGACATTAATAATATCCTAATTATTATACAATCTGAATCCACTACGAATCCCAAATAGTGGAACAAGGTCTCAATATAATGATTCACAATAAAGTTACAAAAAGAATATTCAAATACAAGAAACTTAATGGAAGGTTGATAGCAGTAGACTTGATCTTCCCAAACAAACAAAAAATACAAATTATAGGAGTATACAATACTTCCTTACAGTAGCAATAACCAAAAAACAGATACTGTAACAAAAACTTTGCAACAATGAATAAAGAAGGCTAGCAACAAGAACTGGTATATTATAGTTCTTAAAGATATAAATAGAACCTTCAATTCAACTTTGGACAGATATAACAATCACGAAATCTCATGTACCAACAAACCAACTAGATTCTATATAGAATTTTTGATTAACAAAGGTTTTGAAAACAGCTATCATATATATAATCTTATCAAAAAAAAGTTCATATGGAAGGAACAAGACAGTAAACACAAAATAGAACAAATATGACTTAGTCCTTCAGACAAATGGCAATTAAGAAATTCATATATATGAGATATACTATAACCTTTAATCAAAAACAACTATCAAAGCATAACTATAGAATTAAAAATGTGGAACCTGGATCTAAACTCAGGGAAAAAAGCCACAGTGCACAAGTATAATTATAGATTTAATTGATAACACACTAGTACAAAACAATGGATAGCTTTCACAAACATGATGAAAGAGTTAATCTCAAAAACTGCCTAACCAAACACCTCAATTAACAAAAGGTGAAATATTTTCAGAAATAACATGCTAAAAGTTGCAAGAAAGAATATCTGTAAAATCAAGAATCACTATAGGAAAAGGATCTATACAAAACAGGCAAGGCTCCCTTCACCTGTTATTTCCTTACAAAACTTCCTAAACAATCTGAGAAATTAATTAACAAGCACAGAAAAAATCAATTCAACTGGAGAAACTCTGATATCTAATGAGATAAAGATCAATTTTCCAATATATACAATATACTTATCACAACAAAAATAGAAAAACTGAAACATATATCCAGAAATAGATCTCAATCCTATAAAGAAATATCCAGACACATAAACTCATGACCTAATATATCACAAACTACAGACATATCAAGACTATTAAACAAAGAATAATTAAATGACAAGTTTTTCTGGAAACCAACAAAAAAGTCATGATCAATAGTATTATGAAAAAACTATGAAAAACTATACATCTAGATAAAATCATCTTATAAGAATAGAAGATCAAAATTATTACAAATCTAACAGAAATCAAAAAACATGTAAGATTCTATTTTCAAAAATGGACATTCCTAAGAAATATATAATTACTGATAACCATCCACTATGGTAAAGGGAGTATAAATCCAAAGGCTATATTTAATCACATTGATATAAAGCCACAATTAAAGAAATCTTAAAAGAAGATTCAACAATGCAATCAACGAAGCAATAAATATGTACCTGGGCTCAATCAAATTTCTTACATCACCTATAAATATCTGAAAAAAAAGGCTAAAGAAGAAGTCTAAGAAATTTTTATTCAAATAATCCAACAAGATGACATCCCAGCAAAGTGGATCAAAAGAATTATCCATCCAATTCCAAAACCAAAGGAATAGAAAAACAACCTCAATATTACAAGACTAATCACTTTATTCAATGTAGAAAGGAAAATTTTTATAAAAATCCTGACAAATAGACTAGTCAGATGTATCAGGAAAAAGGAAATCCTATCAGAATATAACTGGGCCACATTTCCAGAAAACAGTATACAAGATCTAATACATATAATCAGTGGCATAATATAATATACTAAAGAAAATAAACAGTAGATATGGATTCTCAGCCAGTATACTATATATCCAAGATATATAATTCAGTCAACATAAAGAGGCTGATTCTGGTCCTTAAAAGAATAAAGATTTCAAATCCAATAATTTGAATTCTAATTAACATCTTATATATCAGACAAAACTTTATAATTACATACTATAGTCCAATAGAGGAATACAATGTACAAAATAGAATTGATTAAGGAAACACAATATTCTCACTTTTGTGATAAATCTTTCATAATCTTTTCTTAATTATGATCACAAAAACATACAAGAAATACACAATAAGTTTAAAACATTACAAAGACTTAAAAAGAGAATGAAACTGCAAAACCACTGATATTGTTATTAGCATCTACATGGATGATACAACATGGATCATCAGCAATCAGAAAGATTTACAACAAGTAATAAACATAGCACAACAATTTTACCACATCTATGACATTAAGTAAATCTATCAAAATCACAACTGTTAATTATAAATAGAAGAGATATAGACTACAAACAAGGTGACAAAATGAATGAACTCAGAGTAAAAGATTGCAAACCAGATATATCTATAAAGATCTTAAGGATATTATATGATAGCTCTGAATAGAAAAAATATCAAAGAAACCTTATAAATTAAAAGATAAGTAAAGTCAAAGCCCTAATAGAGATAAAAAAAATTCAGACAAGCAAATGCAATATAACATCAATCCCGTTCTCATATCAAGCATAAAATCCTATACAATAATATAGTCCTATTCAGAGAGATCTACAACCACCTAATAAGTAAAATAGCTACAACATATAAATATAAACTAGACCTTGTAAATACAATATTAAATAATATGTTGTATAACAATCAGGAATACAATCTAATACATCTGTGGAATAGACAAGTACTATTACATCTAAATAACTGAACAAATAGAATCAATCTCAACAATACCACAGGCAGTATAGCTAGACATAGACTCCAATTACTATAGAATATATACTGGTTCACAGAAATAATTTTTACTAAAATGAGACATATATTTATGAAATATGATGCAAACTTTATATATGATATAATTTGGCTACTAAGAATATGTGACTTCAATCTCAAACAAATAAAAAATGAAAACCTATCAGTAATAAAAAAAAAATATCAAACCATTCAAAAAATCATGAATGAGAGCTTTTATCAAAAATATAAAAGTAAGCTAAAAAAACAACAACCTATATTTTACAGGTCAATTTCTTAATGGAAATGAACAAAAAACTTTACACTGGAATCAACTTATCAGAATCAACAGGACAACAATATAAGAATCAATCCTCATATGATTCTTGAAGATAAAAAATAAACTAGATCAACAGTTAAACTTAGCAACACAATCAGCTGACTTCTCATATAATAGATTTCTTCAATACAAGTCAAACACAATAAGTAATATTGCAAGACCATATTGAATTGAAACAATCAAATAGTCATTGACAGAAAGCAAAGGAAAATAAACACTAAATCACCAATTTACAAATACTATATATGTGACTCAAACCAATTTCTACTTTTGAAATTCCCAAGTTGTAATATTAACTAGTTAAATAATATTGAAGCCACCTGTAATTTTGAAGCAACAAGGCAGATCAACAGTAAAAATCTCAATCCATTGCAATGGAATCTCAACACAGAAATATTCAATCAACAAAGAATTAAACTTTATAAACTAAATATCATTAAACTCTTTATTATTAGGACTACTAACATTAATATATTTATCTTATACAGAAAAAGATTGAGACACAGAAATTGAAAGTGTTACAGAAAACTCCATACAGAACTACATACATAATCTTTATAATGCAGAAAAATTAATTATAAAGGAACTCTCCAATATCAATCAAGAACTTTAAAACTATATGCATTTTGAAATTTACATAGATGGCTTCATGAGCTGGCACAATGAACAATATTACATAGAAATAGAATAGATTTTAACAATCAATGACAACAAACATTTCCACTTTTAAGACCAAGTCAAAAACTTTTCTTTCTCAATCAGAGCTGAACTAATAGTCATATTTATAGCCATTAGTACTCTTCTCTACTATAATAGAATACAAATATATACAGACAACATGGCAACCATCAACTACATTTAAAAAATCAATAAGCTCATTACTACACAACATTATAAAAAATAAAAAAACTCAAATATCTTATAACTAATCAAAAAAATCTACAAGCAAAGAAATATAAAGTTGGAGTTATTCAAAGTCTAAGCATATACTGAAAATATATAAAATGAACTTGCAAATAAATCAGCAGAGATTGGTCTATAATAAGAAATAAGATCCAATATAAGAAATATTACATTCAAAACAGAAAATCTAAAAAAGGTTCATTTTTCTATACAATGAAATAAACAAAACCTGGAAGTATCAATAAAAGAAACAACTAAGAAAATCAAACAAGCAGTTTACTTGACTAAGTAGAAGCTCATGAATAGAACTAGAAACAATTTTGATAATTACTTAATTCAAAAATTCACTGGTTCATCACCTTCAAGTACCTTCAGATTATCAAAATGAGCAATCATATAACAAATTGGGAAAACCAACAACAAAAGAAATTTTTGCTAAGCTTATGGAATGAAGAACTCTCTATAAAAACCAAGCTGCATCACAATGTATCTTCAATCTACAAAGATAATTTGTACAACAATTGTAGAAAAATAGAAACAAATATATATCCCTTTATCTATACTATATACAAGATAATAATAAAATAATATATAATCAATAGCATTATCACAAATATTACAAGATACTTGATAAAAACAACACATCAAAATAAACAAATAAACTGAAGGAAAAAACATCACTTCATTATAATAGATACCTGAAGTATACAATTAGAAGAGCTTTCCTCAAGAAAATAACAAATTATTCAAGAGACAATTTCAGAAAAATGATACAAATATAATTGTTACATAAATATCAAAAAAGACATTATAAAATACTTTCAAGAGCTTTGAAAAAAATACTGCAAAGATTTTAAACTCTGAAAAGTATAACAAGGTATTATCAGAAAGGTGAAAAAAAAATACAAATATATTAAACATGAAATCAAACTATGGCTTAAAAAAAGAGAAGACCATATTAAAGATTAATTTATACAGTTAGTCAATAAATACATAAACAAAACCATTCAAAACATAATAACACCCTTCACTATCTTAGAATTTTCATATAGTACTAGCTCAACCTTGACAGGTTAGTATCCTCTGAAATAAGATGGCAACAAGTCACGAGGTAAATACAGTCACAAGACCACTTCTTTATCAAATTATATTTGATAAGCATAGGTAGTTATAGTATTATATATACATACCTACCACATTTCAAATAGTGTAAGGCTAAGTCAGATTAAAAAAAAAAAAGAGTAAAAGAGTAAAATAAGTTATACTTAAAGAAATAAATTTTCAATTATAAATATATTAGTATATAAAAGTCACAACAATTTATAAATATTCATAATAAAAATATATCATATTGATCTGATTACAAATTAAAATATTTTCAACTTTATATTAATTTTTATTAATAATTTTTTCAAAATTAAGCTAAAATTTTAAATAGTAATATTGATATTAATAGTTTAATTGAATTAATATAAAATTAGTTAAAATTAAAAGGATTGTTAAGAATTAATATCAATATTATTAGGCTAATACCAATGTTATAATTTGAATTTTGGTTCAAATTAAGTTTAATTATAGTCAAATTATTAAAAAAATATATTTAATATCTGATCATTAATTTTTAAATATTAAAATTTGGATTAAATTAGATCAAATTATGGTAAAATTATTAATATATATATTGTATAATCTAATTTATTTGATGTATACAATAAAATAGTAATTAAAATAAAAAAAAAAATTTTTTTTATAATGCAATTAATAAAAATTTATTATTGTACAACTTTTGATATTTTTTTGTAAAAATATAAAAATACAAGAATTTACTTAAATTTTATGTAAACCAAATATTCTCAAGACAGTTATCTATAAAGAATATTTATTATTCTATT